TTGTCGGATGTCTAATACATTAAAGATACATTTCGTATTGACATACACACACCATAGACGATCTAATGTTAAATTCAGAAGAAGAGAGAGGGAGAGAAAAGGAAAGAAGAGGTGGGGGAGATAGATGAGGCGGGGGAAACTAAAACTGAAGACATTTACTCAAAGGGCTGCTGTGTAATTAAGAAAATTTGACAAAATTAATATCGCCTACAGGTTACAAATCAAATATAAACATATAAAAAATAAATATAACGATTATCTAATCTAGCAAGGACCTATATTTTTATGTTCAAAAACACATGCGTATACACACATACACAATAACATATACACGTATATACATACATAGAGACGTGTACCCACATAGACACATACATATACCCATGTACACGCATACACATATATCCACATATACACACATATACACACACATACATATATATATACATATACACACACATACATGAATATATATATATATACATATTTATATATACATATATATATACACACATACATATATATACATACATACATATATATATATATATACACACACACACACATACATATTCTCACATCCATATATATACATACACATACAAACACACACATACAAATACATGTATACATATAATACATAAATACACACACACATACATACATATACACATACATCCATACACATCCAATCCTAGATATATATATATATACACATTTACAAACATATATGCATACGGACATACACATACGTGCACATAAACATATATACCTAAAATCTTACATGGCGTGAAGGGGAAGTTTAGAAAATGATGTCATGGTTCTGAGAATTAATTCCGTACAGAACGAATCGTGCGAACAACAATGTTGGGTAGGCAGCCATGTTGATGATAAGCAACCTCACTTATTACCACAGGCTCATTTCACAAACCACAATGACTCAATCATTGCATACAAGCCTCTCCGGCAAGCGCTCACAAATTATATTTAGCACACACACACACACACACACACACACATATATATATATATATATATATATATATATATATATATATATGTGTGTGTGTGTGTGTGTGTGTGTGTGTGTGTACACACACAAATAAGGGAAAGAACAGAAGGAGTAAAAAAGCCACAGTTCGTAGCATTTACTTTTTAAAAAGTGCTCAATACAAAGTAGAGCAATATTTTGTTATAATAATTTTATTAAAACAAATTATAATAAAAATACTTTACATCGATACACAAACGCTTTCATGTTTTAATACTGTGACTTTACTTCTTCAAGCGATAAGTTACCAACTATAGCCTGATGAGGTACATTTATAGTATTGAAACATGAAAACATTTGTGTAGCGATGTAAAATGTTTTTAATTATAATCTGTATATATATATATATATATATATATATATATATATATATATATATGTGTGTGTGTGTGTGTGTGTATTTGTGTGCGCGTGTGTGTGTTAAGCAACCTCCACTTATTACCACAGGCTCATTTCACAAACCACAATGACTCAATCATTGCATACAAGCCTCTCTGGCAAGCGCTCACAAATTATATTTAGCACACGCAGAAAACACACACACACACACACATATATATATATATGTGTGTGTGTGTGTGTGTATACTGGACGTCCGGTTCGATCTTCATCTTCAAGGGTGAAATCTCCAACTCTGAATTTTGCAAACCATCTTCTGCAAGTTCTTTCATTCACACATTCCTCTCCATAAACTGAGTGAATGTTTCTAGTCGCTTCGGTTGCTGAGTTTCCTTTCTTGAACTCATAAAGCATTATGTGCCTGAAATGATTCTTGGGTACTTCCATGTTAGCAGGGTTTTAATCAAACAAAATTTAATTTTTTTGTTCTCTGAAATAAAATTTGATCAGTTTAAATGCATCTACACATAAAAATAATGTTCAGCTCCATTAGACATTATAAAATACTCTTTAAATTTCGTTCATTTTTAAAAAAGGTTAAATTCGGACAGAACTTATGGGATGACCTGATACTTAGCATACTTAGTATAATTGCATGCCTTCATTTTATCGCCAGAGTTTCTTGTGAACCAGTCTAATGAGCAGGTGTTTCGTGATGCACTACAATAACAAAACGCGACGCAAGTGTTTATCCACCGTTCACCTGGTGGTTAGGCATTAAGTCATTTTTCTCTACCACCCGTAAAGCAGTGGTCAGAGCTCAAAGGGCTAAGGAGCGAGGACAAAAGAATTGTAATCAGGAAGACATTCGATAATGATTGACATTGCATTTAAATTTTTGAAGATCAAAATTGGCTGAAACGCATGGGGTTGGGAGAGAGTTTCACAAGTGAGTAGTGCGAATAAAGGAACTGTTAGCATAGAACTTACGGTTGCATCTAGCCAATTCAATTGTAACTTGATGAGACCTTGTTACCAATCTAGAAACTGTGCTTAAATTGATAAAGTCTAGGTACCACAGCGAAGAGGTCATCCGAATAATTAACATGAAAATATTTATAGAAAAAGTAAAAAGATAAAGGGAAGCTAATTTACGGCGGTGGAAAAGTCATTGAAGCCGAGATGCCAGGTCAGGATCATTAAAATTGCAGATTCTTTTTTGGATTTTATCAAGAATCTCAAAATATATAACAGCAGAACAGGACTGGTCTCGAATGGAAATTTCAGAGCGTATGTCGTCGATTGTCGAATTGGAGGGAATGGCGGCTTATTTATAAATAGAAATGGTAAAATGAACGAGATTGACGTTAAGAGATAAGTAATCATGATCTTAACCGTGTTTCTGTAATTTAAATTTAAATTGCTTTAATATTAAATTTAATTTAATATTAAATTTAATTTAATATTAAATTTAATTTAATATTAAATTTAATTTAATATTAAATTCAATTTAATATTTGATTTTTAATTAGTGTATTAATGTTGTGGTAGGATCCACCTAATTTGCATAATGGAGTACCGACCATATAAATATGGTTGGTACCGGGAAGAGAGGGAGGAATCAAGAGATTCACTCTCAGTCGAACTCTCTGCATTTTGCAGTGAGGGACCCGGACGAGGCTTTGCCGAGAGGTAGAGTTTCGTCCGGGGTGGTAGACAGGCCTTGAACCCGTCTAGGCGGGTTCAGAAAGGCCATATTTTTGGCCGAGCCTACACTTTAAACCGGCCTTGTGCCACATTTTATCCTCGTGGGTGGATAGATAAATACAGGAATCAAGAGATTCAACCAGAGACTCTGCCCGACTGCGACTCAGTCAACACATTCTCCAGGAACGGTCTTACCAGGACTATACAAAAGACAATATGTAAATATTGTGTACACTTTCTTGTTTCAATACATTTTGTTCTAAGTACATTTTGCGTTGCATTATTATTCCATGCATTAGTCAAGTTTCAACAATTAATTAGAAACTTCAGGAAGAATCAATAAAAGACTCTTACGCTATTTTCTCAACGGGGACACGGCTAAACTTTTGAAAATTATGTTGGTCATCCCCAAGGTTGTGTATTTTCCGGTGACCCAAAAAGGGACGTACCGAGATGGGGGGGGGGGCAATTTTACCTCGCTATTGCCGTTAAACCCATTTTAAGCCTCGACATTATGTCACATTCGGTCGCGACGTGAACGGACTGAAAAATACACTTCTCCTTCGGTATGGAGCTGCAGTTATTACCCGACCCCTGAGGCGTCCTTAAAAAAAGGAAGTGCTGAGGGGGGCTTCCGGATTTTTTCGCTCTTCTGCTAATAATATTAGCTCAAACCAGAAGGTGACATTCTGACAGGCGGTACCTCTCTTTCTGAAGTGTCTCCAAGAAGAGGTTCTATGGCACTGCCGAAAAAAAAACAACCTTAAACATCGACCTTTGTGCCACATTTCGTATTCGACGTGGGGCGGCCGAATAAATAATCACTTACTCGAGAAAAGACTTCGCTTTTAATAAAATGTTTTGTAGTATTTCATTCCAATGTTTCCATTTGATTATTATCCCTACAAGAACCATTATAACAAATTAAAACGGTTATTTAGAGCTAATTCATCTGCTGAGAGTTGATATAAAAGATGACTAAAAAATTAAGAGTGGTGTAGACTCACGCCACAGAGAACGTGTCTGGTTAATAAAGTTGTTAATGTATTGAAAAATTGGCTCTCTTAGAAATACAGCTGAAGCAGCCTCAAACAAATGGGCAGAGATCTTGATTCTTTTTTATTCAGAAGAGGCCGCAGAATCGCCTGCTATCAAACAAAATATTGGCATGTCTTTCCAAAACATTTGTGAAAGTTTCACGTTAAAAATGAAATGGTCAAGAATCGGAAGTGACTGGAGAAATCTTGCTAATTAATTGATGTGATGTGACAATCATTTTTTTTTCTTCATTTTTCTGTAGTCTATTTTTGAAAGAGACACAGACAAAGATATCAAGATAGTATGTTGAAGAATTGGCCATGGTTAAGTGTAATTGCTAAACAAAATCCACCTGTCGAAAAATTAATACAGAATCTGTCCATTTCAATGTTTCAGTCGGAGGAAAGGCACGAGGCATTGGTTAGGGGAGGGTGGAAGTTATTTGTCTTAAAGGGAAGAAGTTTTATAAAATTAAACCCAAATATTAACCTTATGACATGAATTTGGGGTTATATGAAGGACGAAATATTAATTTAAAATAGGAGTAAAAAGGTGTTTAAAAATAATTTTAAAATATATAGATAAAATGGATTAATGGAAAGAGAGTTGAGAAGATATTAGAGGAGGGGGAAAGTTTATCATTTATATTATAGCGTAAAGATGTTATAGAGTGGGAGAAATAAAATATCGAAATTATAATTAGTTATACTGTCGATATTTGAACAGCTACGGGTGGTGAATATTATGGAAATATGGTAGCTAATTAAATTAAACATATATTATGGAAATTTGAATTTGTTTTTATGCTAACATTTTATAAGAGGAATGAATTAGTGTTATGATAGAGATATAGATATGAGCAGAATTACATAGATAGATAGATAGATAGATAGATAGATAGATAGATAGATAGATAGATACGAGCACAATTAGATAGATCATACTGAGATTGAATTATATTAAGATATGTATATATAGATTGAATGAACACATTTAAATAGATAGATAGATAGATAGATAGATAGATAGATAGATAGATAGATAGGAGCACAATTTGATAGATCATACTGAGATTGATATATATTAAGATATGTATATAAAGAAACTCATTGAGATAGATAGATAGATAGATAGATGATAGATAGATACGAGCTCAATTAGATCATACTGAGATTGAAATATATTAAGATATGTATATATAGATTGAATGAACACATTTAGATAGATAGATAGATAGATAGATAGATAGATAGATAGATAGATAGATAGATAGGAGCACAATTAGATAGATCATACTGAGATTGATATATATTAAGATATGTATATAAATAAACTCATTGAGATAGATAGATAGATAGATAGATAGATAGATAGAAACAGAATGAGATAGATAGATAGATAGATAGATAGATAGATAGATAGATAGAAACAGAATAGATAAACTGAAAGATATATAGAAACAAAGATAGAGAGAGACAGATAAAAAGAAAACATTATATAGTTAGACTATAAAAAAAGAAAGGGACAACAAACTTTTGTATCATTTTCTTTGTAGTTCTTTATTCTCCTTAAAATTCCTGATTCTATTCTGTTATTCCCATCACACACACACACACACACACACACACACACACACACACACACACACACACACACATCGGCACATTCATATTTCTGCCATTTACTTTCTTCATCCGTGAGGAGATTGTCCAACATTGTGACATAATACAGATCAAATATTACATAGTATTTCTTGGTCACTAATGGCATTTTTCTATCTCTTAATATTTTGCTTAATTTCTGAAAAGGCATGAGAATATTGTCCAGCATTCACTGCCATATAAGATATCAAATATTGCCTAGCAATTTAGCAATCTTTTCTTGGTCTCTAATGGCATTTTCCTACCTCTTAATACTTTGCCTTGTGTATGAAATGCATGATGTGATTGTCCAACATTAATTGCTATATAAGATGTTAAATACTGCATAGCAATTTAGCATATTTTCTTGGAGGCCAATGACATTTTCCTATATCTTAATACTTTACTTAGCTTATGAAAGGCATGAGGAGATTGTCCAGCATTCACTGCTATATAAGATATTAAATATTGCATAGCAATTTAGCAACTTTTTTCTTGATTTCCAATGGCAATTTCCTCTCTTTTAATACTTTGCTTAATTTCTGAAAAGCATGCAGATATTTTCTAGCATTCATTGCCTTATAAGAGATTAAATATTACATTGCAGTTTAGAAATTGTTTCTAGGGCTGTTTTCCCATCTGTTAATGCACTGACGTGCTAAAAGTTATAGATTTGATGCCTTTTACAGAAGAAGTCTCCTCCCCTATAGGGTGTTGAATTGTCGACTCACTAAATGATCGGAAGAATGTTGCAAGGATATTAAATTATGCCATCTCGATTTGCGGTCCACTCCTCTTTGATATGTCTAGGTACTTACTTCCGAATATGTCTCTCCACCACATCCCATAAACACTTAGAATCATAGACGTTCTTGTTATAGGATGTTGCATGTGAATAGGCACTGTCACCCCCCCCCCGCATAAATGCTCGTAGCAAAAAGAAGACTTCTACCCATAATCAGGAAAACATAAAATTCCTTGGGCATATAATGAGGACTGAGGGTTTGGAAAACCTAACACTCACGTGGATATATTAAGGGCAAGAGAGATAAGGGAAGATAGCTGATGAGATTTGTAAATGGATGTTGGAATGGGGGTATGGTGACTAGCCAAGAGAGAAAACCTTCTAAGATCCACACTAGATAGAAAGTTGTGGAGAGCCATGATCGCGTATGAAAGGACGCGACACACAGAAGAAGAATGAAAAAAACAGCGAGCCAATTGCCTGACGATCTTGTGCGGATGTTGGAATGGATATGTGATGGCTTTATCAAAGAGAGAAAAAATGCTAAGAGATAGAAAGTTGTGGAGAGCCATGATCGTCTCTGCCTTGATAGGACGCAACACATAGAAGAAGAATAATGGAAAAACAACAATGAGCCATTTACCTGACGATCTTGTTCGAATGGATGTTGAAATGGTGGTATGGTGGCTTTAGCAAAGTGAGAAAAACTTCAAAGATCCACACTAGATAGAAAGTTGTGGAGAGCCATGATCACGTATGTCATGAAAGGACACACAGAAGAAGAATGAAAAAAACAGCCAACCAATTGCCTGACGATCTTGTGTGGATGTCGGAATCGATGTGTGATAGCTTTATCAAAGAGAAAAATATACTAAGAGCCATACTAGGAGGTTGTGGAGAGCCATAGTCGTCCATGTCTTGATAGGACGCGACACATAGAAGAAGAATAATGGAAAAACAACTATTAGCCATTTACCTGACGATCTTGTGTGAATGGATCTCGAAATGGGAGTATGGTGGCTTTAGCAAAGAGAGAAAAACTTCAAAGATCCACACTAGACAGAAAGTTGTGGAGAGCCATGACCGCCTTTGTCCTGAAAAAACACGGCACATAGAAGAAGCTGGAGTGAATTTGCATTAATTGTTAAAATAAATAACATGTCAGTAAACTTCCTCGTCGACAAGGAGCATAATATCTAAAAAGGAAACGCTTTAGGAAGAAAAAGAAAACGTTGCGTTTATTTCTTCCATCTTTTTGGTATATGTTCATTTTTTCTCCATGAAGCATTCCCTTTTTAGATATTACGCATCTTGTCGACGAGGGAGTTTACTGACATGATTTTTTTAATTTTCTTTTATCTATTAATGCATATTTTTAAAACAATTTCCCCATAAATAAGGCGGTAATTCCAGTAAGGTGCAAGCAGTTACTGGGAATGAAAGAAAATCAGAAGTCTTTAAAAGTAACCGGAAACACAACCCTAAACAGGAAACAATGACGTGTTTACTATGTCGATACTTTCTACGTTATCATTATTATCTCTGTTCATTTTTCATTGAGCTATTCATCATTTACTTGATGTATTTATTTCTAATATGTCTTATTAATATCCTACAGGTTTTTTAGATGTCGAAGAGAGAAACAGTGTTGTTTTTTTCCCCTCTCGTTACAGTTCTTTAAAATTTATCAAGCATTCTGCCATTTAACTTTTTCCTCAAGGACCTAAAATGGCGGGCAAAAAGAAAAAGAGAAAAATGCTTGGCTTGGCTAAAGCCGTTTTGATATTTCAAAGAAAATATAATGGCTTTCATCGCTTACCTTTCGTTACTGAGAAAAAAAAATCATAATTGTTTAATGATTCAATAGAAACGGAATACGTCGGTTAATTTTTCCGCCATTTCATTTGAGGATATCTTTCCAAACAACATGGCGTCTAATTCATATGTTGATTTTCTAAGCACAGCTTTGATGTGACACAAGGCCAGATGTATGGGGCACCCAGTGAGGATTGAACTCACTACTCAGTCGATGTAGCGAGATAAGCTTGCTAAATATTATACCACGTCGAAGTGCTTAATGTTTTTTCTAAGCGTAGCTTAGATGTACAAAAACGAAAATATAGATCACCTTGTGCGGAGCGAACTCACTACTCAGGTGTAACTGATTTAGCAAGACATACTTGCTAAACATTACACCGCGTCGAAGTGCCAAAAAATGAACTCCTGAGAGTATCTTCGATGTGGTACAAAAATGAATATATAGAGTACCCTGCGTGGATTAAACTCGCTACTCCAGCGTAAGTTTTTGTGGTATGAACTTTCTAACCATTACACTACGCGCAAGTGCCAGATCTCTTCCCGAAGTTGATTTTTCAAATGAGTTTCTAAGCGTAGCTTACATTTGACACAATGACGAAAGTACTGAGCACCCAGTGAGGATCGAACACACTACTCAGCCGTAATTGATCTAGAGAGTCAACTTGCTATTACACCACGTCCAAGTGCCGAAATGATTTTCTAAATGTATCTTAGATGTGGCACAAGGCCGAAAGTATGGGGCACCCAGTGAGTATCGAACTCACTCTTCCGTCGTAATTGTTCTAGCGAGACAAGCTTGCTAACTATTACACCATGTCGGTTAAAATGATTTTCTAAGCGTATCTTAGATGTGGCACAAGGCCGAAAGTATGGGGCACCCAGTGAGTATCGAGCATACTATTCAGTCGTAATTGATCTAGCGAGATAACCTTGTTAACCATTACACCATGTCGAAGTGGTTAAAATGATTTTCTAAGCGTATCTTAGATGTGGCACAAAGCCGAAAGTATGGGGCACCCGGTGGGAATCGAACATACTACTCAATCTTAATTGACCTAGCGAGACAGGCTTGGCTAACCATTACACCACTCTGGCGTCAAATCGAATCGAATCGTATAAGATTCAGTAATAAATTCAACGTTTTGACCCACGCGCATTATCATATTTAAGATGGATTTCTTTCCTTACTATGTGTGTGTGATTTATCACCCAACATGCTGTCGCCTTTTCTTCTACGATTGGATAGTATCATTTTATGCATGATTCATTTCTCCTCCAACTGTTTCTCATATCGAAAGAGAACGTTTATTCAAACAGAGTAACAGTTAATCAAAGCATATCGATAGTTTTTCTTTTCCAATCTGCTAAAGGGCAGTCCGGTTCAAATCTCTGGTTGGTATCGTAACAATAGAAAGATATGGCCACTCAGAAAAACCCTTAACTCCCGCGTCTATGGTTTCGATTCCCGCGCCCTCATAACTATCGAGGGCTTTCATTGTTCCGATTTTGTGTGCAATGAGACGCTCTACCGAAGGACCGGCCAGGGGAGTATCCCTCGCACCATCTTTCTGCGCAGTTTTCGCTGGTTCGGTCATGTCTTCCGACGACATGATGACCGCCCTAGCAGTCATCAAACAGTTCGACCCGCCATCTGTAGACTAGAAACCACCTCGATGCTGACCAGACAGCCACTGGATTGGTGCCATCCATTAACTCCTCCTGTAGATCACTCTGGGGTTTAATGATGATCCGTCGCTCTGATTTACGCTCCGATTCTGTAGTTGCTTTTTGATTTGATTGCTTTTGTTTTGCTTTTTAATCATTTCACCCAAACAAGGCAATAAAGCCACTAAGACGCAAGCGGCAACTGAGTGTTAGCGATTACGAAAATTAAGAATGAAAAAATTATTAAGGAGAGAGAACATTAAAAGTACAAGAATAAAGAAGAAAATAATGATTCATATTGCATTTAAATTTTTGGAGAACAAATTTGATTGGAAAGAAAGTTCGACAAGCGAGAAGAGAGAGAGAGAAGAGGGAGAGAGAAGTGCAAGAGAGAGAAGAGAGAGAAGCAAGAGAAGAGAGAGAGAGATAGAGACGACCTCGAGGCTGACTAGACAGCCATTGGAATGACGTTGTCTGTCAACCTCACCTGCAGATCAATCTGGGGTTGGACGATGAGCCGACACTCTGATTCACGCTCCGACCGTGAGAGCGGGAGGGACATGGTTGCCCTTTTAAGATTAAGCCCTTCATGGCATGAGATTTACAGGTAGCAGATCTTTACATATAATAAATAAATTTTATGATGAAGTTGTATTTAATATAAAGCACAAAGAATGGTTAAGTAATGAAGGAGATTGAAAAATTATATCTACAGAACGTAGGCATTCTGTAAAAGCATTCTATAAAGACACATCTTGATACATTCTCATTTGAGTGAACAAAGAAGGGACATCGGTTGAGGTTAAGAAAATAAAAAGAGAACACGTATTACGACAAACAAAAAGACTGAACCTCTCCTAGAAATTTCAACTCTGATTATATTAACGTCCTTGTGGTTCCTTCCATAAGGATCTTTTAATCATTTCATCCAAAACAAGAGAAGAAAGCCTCTAAGACGTGACTGATTACTGAGTGTGGGAGAATAGGAGAAAAATAAAGATATTATTTAGGAGAGAGAATAATAAAAGAAGAGGAATTAAGAAGACAGAAGATAATGATTGACATTGCATTTAAATTTTTGGAGATCAAAGTTGATTGGAAAGCAAAGAACCAGAAGACAGTTCCACAAGCGAAAAGAAAGAGAGAGAGAGAAGTGCGAAAGAAAGGGAGAAAAAAGAGAGAAGAGAGAGAGAATTGCGAGAGAAGGAAGGGAAGAGCGAGAAGAGAGAGAGAAGTGAGGGAGAGAAGAAAGAGAAATTGGAGAGAAGGGAGATAGAAGTAAGAGAGAAGGGAGAGAAGAGAGAAAAATGAGAAAGAGAGTAGAGAGAAGTAAGAGAGAAGGGAGAGAAGTGGGATAGAGAGGAGAAAGAAGTAAGAGAGAAGGGAGAAAGACAGAGAGAGAAGTGCGAGAGAACGGAGATGAGAGAAGAGAGCGAATTGCGATAGAAAGGGGAAAAGAGAGAGAAGAGAGAGAGAGAGATGCGAGAGGAGAAAGAGAAGTGTGAGAGCAGGGAGAGAAGAGAGAGAAGTGCGAGAGAGAGAGAAGTAGAAGAGAAGAGAGAGAAGTGGAAGTGAGAGAGAAGAGAAGTGGGAGAGAGAGAAGTAGGAGAGAAGAGAGAGAAGTGGGAGAGAGAGAAGAGACGTGAGAGAGAGAAATAGGAGAGAAGAGAGAGAAGTGAGAGAGAGAGAAGAGACGTGAGAGGGAGAGAAGTAGGAGAGAAGAGAAAGAAGTGGGAAAGAGAGAAGAGACGTGAGAGAGAGGAGTAGGAGAGAAGAGAGAGAAGTGGGAGATAGAGAAGAGAAGTGGGACAGATAAAAGTAGGCGAGAAGAGAGACAAGTGGGAGAGAGAGAAGAGAAGTGGGAGAGAGAGAAGTAGAAGAGAAGAGAAAGAAGTGGGAGAGAGAGAAGAGACGTGGGAGAGAGAGAAGTAGGAAAGAAGAGAGAGAAGTGGGAGAGAGAGAAGAGAAGTGGGAGAGAAAGTAGTAGGAGAGAAGAGAGAGAAGTGGGAGAGAGAGAGAAGAGCCGTGAGAGAGAGAAGTAGGAGAGAAGAGAGAGAAGTGGGAGAGAAGAGAGAGAGAGAAACTTTAGAAACTAGAATGTCGTATGAAACATTTAAGTATTGCTTTTTTTTAATTATTCCATTCCGAGCAAAGCAATAAAGCCACTAAGACGCAAGTGGGTTAATGAGTGTAAGAGAATATGGATGTTGCATAGCCCCGTCATGCTGGGAAGTCCTGATCACCGGCGACAATTTGATAAAATATTACATCTTCTCCCTCCGCCGGTGATCGCTAGATGTTTTAGGGTCCAGAAATGAAAAGATTCCAACACAGAGTATTTTAACTTATTTTATTAAAGTAAACATGTACTAACAATTCAGTGGAGGTCGTTCACCAAAACTGGGAATCCGTTTCAGAGACGATAGAGAAAACATCTACATTGCTTGACGGTTAAGACTCGACTCGATGAAACATTTCTCTTATCTCCTTTCCCGCTAGCTCAGCCAATCATCGTCTTCCCATAGAATGGCTTGTATCTGATCCCATAGTCAACCTTAGGAAGTTGGGACAGATATACACTTTCTCTAAAAAATAATAATCCGCTAAAGTATTATTTAACATGAAGAAAAAAATAAAATGAACGGGAGGAAACAATAAAGGAACATGAATTAAGAAGACAGAAGAGAACTATTGGCATTGGTTTGGTTTGGTTTGGTTTGGTTTGGTTTGGCTTGGTTTGGTTTGGTTTGGCTTGGCTTGGTTTGGTTTGGTTTGGTTTGGTTTGGTTTTCGGCATATAAACCTCAATGAGTTATCTAATGCCAACAAGATTTTTATTGCTGGTAATATTTTTTGAAATATGTATTTCTAGTATTTTTTCGAAAATGTATTGCGGGTAAATTGCTCGTAATATTTTTCTTCAAAAATAAATTGCTGGTAAAATTTATTTTCTTCGAAAATGTATTGCTGTTTCTGGCAATAATTTTCCTTCAAAAACTTTATTGCTGGTATTAAAACGTATTTTTACACTTTCGTGGTGTATTGACTCCAGTTTGGGAGTTAACTTTTTGCACATAGTTGGGTCCCTAACAAGTGCTACCACTCCGGGTGAGGGTAGACCTAGGAAAACCAGCAATTAAGAGGTGGTTCCACGCTTCTCAAAACATCGTGATCAGAGGCCTTGTTAGACGTAGTTTATCGTCTTACCCAGGACGCGGATGTAGTTTATTATCTTACTCAGGACGTGGATGTAGTTTATCGTCTTACCCAGGACGCGAATGGAGTTTATCGTCTTACCTAGGACACGGATAGAGTTTATCCTCTTACCCAGAACGTGGATGTAGTTTATCGTTTTAACCAGGACGTGGATAGAGTTTATCGTCTTACCCAGGACGCGAATGGAGTATATCGTTTTTACCTCGGACGAGGATGTAGTTTATCGTCTTACCCAGGACGTGATTTAAACATTTGAAGATCAAGGAGGACTCTAAAGCAAGAAACGGGAAGAGAGATCCACAAGAGAGAGGTTTGAGAGAAGATAATGTTAGCATAGAACTTACGCTCATATCTAGTCATTTCAACTGTATGAGAATGAAACATTATCGCCAATCTAATGATGCGTTTAAATTCATAAAGTTTAGGTGCGAAAGAGGAAACTTCATCAGAACAATTACCATGAAAATATTTATAGAAAGGCACAGGGAAGCGACGTTACGGTTGTGGGAATGGGACTGTTTCCGAGATGTCACGTCAGGACCAATAATATTGCTGATTATTCTTTGGAAATTTATCAAGAATATCTGACTACATCAGAGGATTGCCAGAGCAGATGTAACAGCAATATTCAATGCATGGACAAATGGTAGATTTATAAATGTATAAGACAGCTACTAGCGAGAAAAATTACTTACCATAACTCAGTGAATCAGCATTTCTAGAAGCAGACATAGAAAATAATACAATATAATCTGTCCACTTTATGCCAGGGAAAAACGTGAGACCAGGAACGGGCAATGATCTGACCAAGGCGTAACTCTCCAGGGGATTACAGCCAACCATACAGCTTTTGCTGACATATTAAATATTATATAGCAGTTCAGGACTCTATGTTTCAAGGGATGTTTTCCAATCGCTTAATACACTGATGTGCAAAAACTCATAGATTCAGTTCCTGAGCGCGCGGCTGACTTGCAAAATGACTTAGATTCAGTTCCGATTATACAAAGAAGTCATAGATTCAGTTCCTGTTTATGTGACTGACGTGCAAAAAAGTCATAGGTTCAGTTCCTATTATGTGACTGACGTGCAAAAAAGTCATAGGTTCAGTTCTTATTATGTGACTGACGTGCAAAAAGTCATAGATTCAGTTCTTATTATGTGACTGACGGGCAAAAAAGTCATAGATTCGGTTCTTATTATGTAACTGACGTGCAAAAAACCATAGATTCAGTTCTTATTATGTGACTGACGTGCAAAAAAGTCATAGATTCAGTTCCTGTATATGCTGATTTGCAAAATGACAGATTCAGTTCTTATTATGTGACTGACGGGCAAAAAAGTCATAGATTCGGTTCTTATTATGTAACTGACGTGCAAAAAACCATAGATTCAGTTCTTATTATGTGACTGACGTGCAAAAAAGTCATAGATTCAGTTCCTATATATGCTGATTTGCAAAATGACAGATTCAGTTCTTATTATGTGACTGACGTGCAAAAAAGTCATAGATTCAGTTCCTGTTTATGTTACTGACGCGCAAAAAAGTCATAGATTCAGTTCCTGTTTATGTGGCTGACGTGCAAAAAAGTCATAGATTCAGTTCCTGTTTATGTGACTGACGTGCAAAGAAGTCATAGATTCAGTTCCTGTTTATGTGACAGACGTGCAAAAACGTCATAGATTCATTTCCTGTTTATGTGGCTGACGTGCAAAAAAGTCATAGATTCAGTTCCTATTATGTGACAGACGTGCAAAAAAGTCATAGATTCAGTTCCTGTTTATGTGGCTGACGTGCAAAAAAGTCATAGATTCAGTTCCTGTTTATGTGACAGACGTGCAAAAACGTCATAGATTCATTTCCTGTTTATGTGGCTGACGTACAAAAAAGTCATAGATTCAGTTCCTGTTTATGTGGCTGACGTGCAAAAAAGTCATAGATTTAGTTCCTGTTTATGTGACAGACGTGCAAAAACGTCATAGATTCATTTCCTGTTTATGTGACAGACGTACAAAAAAGTCATAGATTCAGTTCCTGTTTATGTGGCTGACGTGCAAAAAAAGTCATAGATTCAGTTCCTGTTTATGTGACAGACGTGCAAAAACGTCATAGATTCATTTCCTGTTTATGTGGCTGACGTGCAAAAAAGTCATAGATTCAGTTCCTGTTTATGTGACAGACGTGCAAAAACGTCATAGATTCATTTCCTGTTTATGTGGCTGACGTGCAAAAAAGTCATAGATTCAGTTCCTATTATGTGACAGACGTGCAAAAAAGTCATAGATTCAGTTCCTGTTTATGTGGCTGACGTGCAAAAAAGTCATAGATTCAGTTCCTGTTTATGTGACAGACGTGCAAAAACGTCATAGATTCATTTCCTGTTTATGTGGCTGACGTGCAAAAAAGTCATAGATTCAGTTCCTGTTATGTGACAGACGTGCAAAAAAGTCATAGATTCAGTTCCTATTATGTGACAGACGTGCAAAAAAGTCATAGATTCAGTTCCTGTTTATGTGGCTGACGTGCAAAAAAGTCATAGATTCAGTTCCTGTTATATTTCCCCCATGGTAATAGCCATAATATACTTTCAAGTAAGTATCCCAATTTGAATGGTTGAAACAGGGTTTCTTCAAATTTGTGGAAAATGTCTCTTTCATTTCACATAAAAATGCCACAAACACCATTGAGACCTCATTTCTGGTTTATTTTGCGCTAGACGCAAGGCCGGTGCAACTTATCTTGCAGCTATCTGAGCTTTTTTCGAAGATGAGTTTTTTCAGCACTTGCTAAAAAACCTGTCGTTTTGCAATGTCAGATTTTTTTTCAAACCAAACATCACCTGTTTTAATGGCCTTGGGAGAAATTAAGAGTGCGAATGAGTCCCATGTTTTCCAGAGGTTCTAAATCCAGCCTTTCTCAGCAAGTTTTAGGAGTAAAACAAAAATCGCACTTAACCAGGAGGCGCTTCATGCCCTGCCCGCCAACACGTCGCTCGATATCTTCCCTTTGTCTATAGAAACCCAATTTCAAGCTTTCTGGGCAAAGTAGAAAATGATTAAAGTTTCCCCTTGACCCACGGGCTGGTGACGACCCGGCTACCGGTGGATGGCCTAAAACCTTTCTAGATGCCACATGTCAAGTTTCAGATCATAAGTTCTAAGGGGCCTATAAAACAAAAGCAAACATAAAAAAAAAACAGAATTATATATATATATATATATATATATATATATATATATATATATATATATATATATATATTTAAAGATATTTTTGTAGGTACAAAATTTAATGATCGAAATAAAAAGTGTAAAATTTAATATTACAAGACATATTAAAACAATATTAAATAATAATAATAAAAAAAATTTTAAAAAACTCAACAACAAGGGTGGGGGAAGCAACCGGTTTCGCTCCCGCTCGTCAGGCTTCCACGGGAGATTCAAAATTAAAACAGAAATGTACAATAAGAATAGGTGGAAAAAAATATATACATATATACATATATATATTTGTATATATGCAAGAAGGAACTAGAGGCAGATGACAGCGAGTCCCAGCAAACACTCACGTTGTTTGCACAAAGAAGGCTTGCGGGACCCGATGTAAAGTGCCTCCAGAACCTTCAGATGAAATACAGAGTGTGACCGGGACAACACGGTGAACCAGTCGACACTAAATTTGGCAGCACAATCTCTGCTATTTAAAAGATGTTCGCATATGAATCTCCCGTGGAAGCCTGACGAGCGGGAGCGAAACCGGTTGCTTCCCCCCCCTTGTTGTTGAGTTGTTTTTTTTTATTATTTAATATTGTTTTAATGTCTTGTAATATTAAATTTTACACTTTTATTTCGATCATATATATATATATATATATATATATATATATATATATATATGTACAGACTAAATTGTCGGCATTTTATGTGTGTAATTCGCGCATGCCTATTTTTTGATTTTGATTTTATCGACTGCACTGTATAGTTGGGTCAGTTGGGCACCGTCTTTGAGAAAAAGGAGCAATATGGTGCAATTCACTCTGCGAGTAATTCGGAAAAGACATGTAAAACTGCTTGGCATTTTTCACTGGAGGCTCCAATGATCATTAATGATGGCGACGTTATGCCTTCTTTCATCTTCCCACGCAGCCTCAGACTCAACACAGAGTGCCCTGGGGAAGGAGTGCTGCCCTGGGTCAAGATAGTGGCGGCTAGAAGGCCCTTTGTCTGGCAATAGGACTCTGCATCATATCACACAAGGAGGAGAATCTAAGCATAGCTGTCAGACGATTTCTGCGATCACATCACCCCTTACAACTGGCCACCTAACTCTTCATACTGCAAACCATTTGATTATTTTGTGTGGGGCGCAGTTGAGCGAGAGATCAACAAAACTCCTCGTAATACGAAAGACGAACTGAAGGGAAGGGTTATGGCAGTTGTTGCAGTTTTTTGTGTATATGTGTGTACTAGTGAGCCAGTCAAAATGAGTTGACTCATTTTATAGTTCACCAATAGAATGGTTAACCAATCAGAAAGCTCAAAATATTCAATGCAACGCGTATAAAGGCAGCCATTTTTTTCCTCCCAAATTGTCTGCACTGCCAACCTGATATCGAAGACTTAAAGAATTACTTAACAACCGCTACTTTGTCTGAATCTTCGCTGCCGACCTCTGATATCGAACAGATTACGGACTTCACTGAATTCCATATTCAGAGATTGCGGCAAACATGGTCAACAGCAGTATTCACCAACTTAAACAAGGAAACCGTCCAGAATTGTTACAGGAGATTCCGAAGTCGTCTGGAGGCCGTGGTTGAAGCCAATGGCGATTATATTGAATAAATGTACACTTTAAATCTCATGGTGATTACGAAGGTATTTGGAGTGATCACTAGTGATGGCAAAGTTATGCCTCCATTCATCTTCCAACCAAGCCTCAGACTGTATACGGAGGCCTATACGAGTGAAGGGGTAGTGCTGCTCTGGGTCAAAATGGTGGCTGCTGGAGACACTATATCTGGCAACAAGAATCTTCCCCATGCCACCCAAGCAGAAGATCCCAGTCATGGGTGTCTGACATTTTCTGCAACTCCTTATCACCCCTTACATCTGGCCATCTAACTCTCCAGACTGCAACCCCCTTGATTATTATGTGTGGTTCGAGGTGAACGAGAGACCAACAAAATTCCTTGTAACAATAAAGATGAACTGAAGGCAAGGATTATGGCAGCATTCACTAACTTAAACAAGGAGACAATCCAAGAGATGCAGGAGATTATGAAATCACCTGTTTGAAGCCAATGGCAATTTTATTGAGTAAATTTACTCTTTAGTATTTGATAATATTTTTGTGAAGGCCGTGATTGAAGCCAATGGCGATTTTTAAAATTAGCCCTTGATTATTATGTGTGGGGCGAAGTTGAGCAAGAGACCAACGCAACTTCTTGTAACACCAAAGATGAACGGAAGGCAAAGAATATGGCAGCATTCACCAACTTAAACAAGGAGACCGTTCAAAAGAGTTACAGAAGATTTCGAAGTCATTTGGAGACCGTGGTTGAAGCCAATATTGATTTTATTGAATAAAATTATTCTTTAGTATTTCAAGATATGTTTGTGTAATTTTGGCAAATGAAATGCCAATGTTATTTTCATTTTGGCGTCATTTAGACGACAATTTATCCATCGCACCCTCTGTGTACATGGATGTACGCATGCATCTCGTTACTTAGTAGCCCTATGCGGCTGGTTTTGAATAAGGCAGTACCATTTTTGTCTGACTTTTTGTTTATTATTTTTCTTTCTTTATTTCGTCTTTGTTTTCTGTGTGTTTTTTTTGTCACTCTTGACATTTGAATTACTTTTCATTTGCAGTTTGTCTCTTTTTTTCGTCTCTTTTTCGAATGTATTGTTTTGCATTTGTTTACTGCGTCTAGATTTTGCCTCTCTTTATTGGCATTCTTTTTTGTCTCTTTTTCTCTCTATCTTTTGGTCTTTAAAATTTTGTCTTTTCTTTTTTTTTTCAATAAATAAAAATAATGATTTCGGTATTTGAAAAAGTTTCTGGTTTTACAACCATTTTGGCCTCCTGTTTGTCTTTTCTTGTTTCTGCTTTCTGTTTCGCTTTGTTTTTCATTTCTGTCTCGTTTGGTTTTTTCCATTCTGTATTGTTTTGCTTTTCCTTTCTGTCTTGTTTTGTTTCTATTTTGTTTTGCTTTTCCTTTCTGTCTTGTTTTGTTTCTGCTTTCTGTCTCGTTTTGTTTCTGCTTTCTTTCTTGTTCTGCTTTCTGTCTCGTTTTGTTTTTCCTTTCTGTCTCGTTTTGTTTCTGCTTTCTGTGTCGTTTTGTTTCTGCTTTCTGTCTTGTTTTGTTTCTGCTTTCTTTCTTGTTCTGCTTTCTGTCTCGTTTTGTTTCTGCTTTCTTTCTTGTTCTGCTTTCTGTCTCGTTTTGTTTATCCTTTCTGTCTCGTTTTGTTTCTGTTTTCTGTCTTGTTTTGTTTCTGCTTTCTTTCTTGTTCTGCTTTCTGTCTCGTGTTGTTTCTGCTTTCTTTCTTGTTCTGCTTTCTGTCTCGTTTTGTTTTTCCTTTCTGTCTCGTGTTGTTTCTGCTTTCTGTCTTGTTTTGTTTCTGTTTTCTTTCTTGTTCTGCTTTTCCTTTCTGCCTTGTTTTGTTTCTGCTTTCTGTCTTGTTTTGTTTCTGTTTTCTGTCTCGTTTTGTTTCTGCTTTCTGTCTCGTTTTGGTTTTTCTTTCTGTCTCGTTTTGTTTCTGCTTTCTGTCTCGTTTTGTTTTTTCTTTCTGTCTCGTTTTGTTTCTGTTTTCTATTCACTTGTTTTTGTTTCTGGCTCGTTTTGTTTCGATTTCTTTTCTATCTCGTTTTGTTTTTCTCTTTCCGTCTCGTTTTCTTTCTGCTTTTTGTCTCGTTTTGTTTTTCTCGTCTTTCATTTCGTCTGCTTCTTTGTTTCTTCGTTTGGCCTCTTATTTTTGCCTCTCTTTTATTTTTATTTTTTTATCTCATTTCTTTCTACAGTTTGTATTTCTTTTGCTCTATATTCCCCAATTGTCTTGAGACCGTCTTTCCTGTAATCCTTTCAGTATAAATTTCATTTTTGTTTCCTTTGTCTGTTCTCTGTTTTTCCTCTTCTGACTATTCAGGCCACGAATCGAGACATCCAACCGTAATGGCTTGGGCAAATGAAAGAATAAATAAATTTACTCTCGCTCTTTTTTGTCTGTAATATTTTTTCCTTGCTTCTGTTTTTCAGTTGGCCGTTTGTCACTCATTTCGAGTCATTTTTACGTTTTGCTGCCTGCGTCTATTTGATGACGTAATCAATAGAGACTCGACTTGAGTAAGCGGAGAACCGGGTCCAAATTTCAGTTGGTTTCTTTACAATGACTAACGCGTAAATATTCTTATGAACAGTATGTATGCACATGCATATGAGAAGGAGTATGGCATTTATCTGGGAAAATATTGGTATTCTCAAAATATATTTTAAAGCAATGTTCATTTGCAAAAAATAAGAATTATTCTTACAATGTTTCCGCTTTAAATAACTCACAAAGGGTAGATAAGTCGTAAAAAAAAAAAAACTAATCCCGTCTAGTCTCTTTTAAATTGACATTTATTCTGTATTCTGGTGTCTTTTTTTTCCTTCTGCTTTCTGTCTCCTTTTTTCAAATAAATATATATCCTTTTCTAAGGGCTGCTTTTGAAAAGGTTTTTCTCTTACATTTATTTTTTAAATTTTCTTTCTTTTCTATTGTTGCTTTTATCTACATTCTGTCCTTTTTTTTCGTTTTTGTGTTTTATTTTTTTGTTTCTTCTTTCTCTCTCTTTGTTTTATATTTCTTTGTGTCTCTTTCGTTTTTTATATCATTTTCGTGTCTTTTGTGTTTCATTTTTGTTTCTTTTTTTTTCCCTCTCTGTTTTATATTTCTTTGTGACTCTTTCGATTTTTTACATCATTTTCGTGTCTTTTGTGTTTCATTTTTTGTTTATTCTTTCTCCCTCTTTGTTTTATATTTCTTTGTGTCTCTTTCGTTTTTTATATCATTTTCGTGTCTTTTGTGTTTCATTTTTTGTTTCTTTTTTCTCCCTCTCTGTTTTATATTTCTTTGTGACTCTTTCGATTTTTTACCTCATTTTCGTGTCTTTTGTGTTTCATTTTTTGTTTCTTTTTTTTCCCTCTCTGTTTTATATTTCTTTGTGACTCTTTCGTATTTTTTATATCATTTTTGCGTTTCATTTTTTGTTTCTTCTTCTTGCATCTCCGATTTCTCTTTCTTTGTGTCTCTTTTGTTTCTTTATAAAATTTTCGTGTCTTTTTGCGTCTTATTTTTTTATTCTTCTTTTCGCCACACCATTTTTCTTTCTTTTCCCGCTCTTCCGTTTTCCGTCTTTTTTGTGTTTCATTTTTCTTTCTTCTGCCTCTCCGTTTCTTTGTATCTCTTCCGTTTTTTACATAATTTCAGTCTCTTTTTATGACTCCTTTCCTTTTTTTGTTTGTTTCTTTCTTTCTTTCTTCGTTTTGACTATTTTTTCTATCATTTTTGTCTATTTTCGACTCTTTTTGTTTCTCTTTTTTCTCTCTTTCCTCTTTCAACCTTATGTCAACTTTCCGTCACTTTTGTGTACAATTTTGTGTTTTTTTATATTTTCCTATTTTTCCTCCTGTTTCTATCACATTCCTGACTCCTTTCTTTATTTTTGTCACCTTTTGTGCCTCCATATTATTCCTCCTCGTGTCTTTTATTCTCTGCTTTCTTGTCGCTACTTCACTAACTTCTCATGTTTACCTCCCCTTTTTTTTTTTTTTTTTCTCCTTCATTTTGACTCTCTCGTTCTGCCCCTCTCTGCCTTTTCTTGTCTCTCATTCTTCACTCTCCTTATCACTTTACTATTTCTTTCTTTATTTTTCTGCCTGCTTTCCTTCTCCTTTTCTTATCGACCATTTTCCTATTTTTCCTATTTATAACTTTTCTTTTGTTTCTTTTTGATTGTCTTTGCTTTTCCATATATATTCTTCATTCTTCAACTATCTAGAAAACTGATTTTCCTGTTGTGTTTTCGTTAGAAATTCCATATGTTTTGATTTTGTCTGTATTCAGCATTTCCATTCCGTCCATTCAGACTATAAGTAGAGACAGTCAACCATAATAGAACAGGAAATGAACTTGGTTATATATATATATATATATATATGTATGTATGCGTATGCATATATATTATATGTGTGTATGTGAGTGTGTGTGTGTGTGGATAGATAGACAGATAGT